TGAATGTGAAGAGTTGTAATCTGGACGGTCTCACTCTGACCACTGGGTCTCCAAGGAGGTGCAAAGTCAGCCACTGCCTGAGGCCACCCTGCAGGAGCTACAGAGGGATCTCCAGATTCTTCCCCTTTGTTTGGGGTTTGGAGGTGCCCAGATGAGGCGCGGCTGTGAAGCAATGCAGGCTGATGACGAGCCTTAGGCCTTTTTTGAAGCTCTGGGGTTCTCTGACCCAGCTGCAGTTTGACAGGTTTTTAGGCAGAGAAAGGCCAGGCCATTGGTATGAGAAAGCCTCTGCGCACAGCTTGGGTGGGGTTGTAAATTGGGTGGGGCAGGGTCTCAGGGAATCACCATGGCAGAGCAAACAGCAATGGTTGCCCGTCGGCCCGCTCCAGATAGGTCCCTGGGTCTCTGTGTCCTGCGGTTCCATGCAGGAACAATGACTGCTGCAAGCACCTCTGTGAGAGAGCCACCCTCATGTTCCGGCCCAATGCCAGACAGTCTAGTTTCTCTCTGTATGAGTCTGAGTTCAGAGCAGTTGGGAGCTTATCTCCCTCCCGATTGACAAAGACAACAGCATACCCAGCTACCAACCCCTTTCACACACACCTCCGTACCTCCACTCTTCCACACCTCTGCTCTTCCTATCGGACTCAATGCGCTTTTCTCTTTCCTTCTAGTTGTAGAATTTCCACTCAGCCAGCCTTCCCATGGTTCTGAATGCTCTTCCTTTTGTCTTTTAGTTGTAGGTTTAATGTGGTTGTGCGCGGCAGCAAGTTCAGGTGTATACCTATGCTGCCATCTTGGTTGTCTCTGCTTAAGCATGTTTTAAATTACTATATGTAAAGAGGTCAGCTATCTTCAGTAGGGATAGACATCAAAGATTAGTATGCCCTGGGTAAAATACCAGTATTGAATAATATGGAAAGAAGTCCTAGGAAGAAAGTTATTATCTCTTAAAGAAAGATACAACAGAAGCAATTAAAATAAATAAATAAAACTGTTAATATATATGATAAAGGGACAAGGAGGACAGATCATTAAGTTCCACATAGGGCCCTAGCTGGTTTGGCTCAGTGGATAGCTTGTCAGCCTGCAGACCAAAGGGTCCCAGCTTCAATTCTGGTCAAGGGCACGTTCTTTGGTTGCTGGCTTCTCCCTGGCCCGGGCCCTGATCAGGGCATGGGCAGAAGTCAACCAACCAATATGTTTCTCTGTCTTTCCCTCTCTCTACCACTTTCTCTAAAGATCAATGGAAAAATATCCTCCGGTGAATATTAACAAAAACAAAAAAGTTCCACATAGTCCACATAGTCCACTGTGTGTCAGACAAACTGATAAGGATAAAACCAATAATGAATTAAGTGAATACTACAAGTTTAGTTTGGAAGATTAGTTCCTTTCTATTACATTACTAACAGGAACAGTTTTATATATCTTATCTGGTTTATAGAAATCATTCTAAATTTTTCATTTTTCACAGTTATTTCCTCCATTACTAATTCCCAAAAAGGAAGATTAAAACTCTTTAAGTGGAGCATATATTATTAACAGTCTTTATTGTCTATTTGCTCCATAAGGATATGTGTATAAAATTTAAGATTGTAGTTTTTTATTTTGAATACTAGAGGCCTGATGAATGAAATCCGTACAAGGGATTTGGCCTCGCCGCTGCGGCAGCTACCTCTCCCTCACCGCCCCCGCCACCATGGCTTCATCTGGAAGGTCGTCCAGAAGGATGTCCAGTCTAATTAGCATATTATGCTTTTATTATTATAGACTAGAGGCCCAGTACACAGGGGTGGGGGTTGTCCCTCTGCCCAGCCTGCACTCTCTCCAACCTGGGCCCCTTCAAGGGATATCATCCCTCTCACAATCCAGGACTGCTGGCTCCCAACCGCTCGCCTGTCTGCCTGCCTGATTGCCCCTAACCACTCCCCTGCCAGCCTGATTGATGCCTAACTGCTCCCCTGCTGGCCCGATTGCCCCTACTTGCCCTCCCCTGCCAGCCTGGTCGCCCCTAACTGTCCTCCCCTGCCAGCCTGGGCGCCCCTAACTGTCCTCCCCTGCAGGCCCGGTCGCCCCTAACTGCCCTCCCCAGCAGGTCTGGTTACCCCTAACTGCTCTCCCCTGCAGGTCTGGTCGCCCCTAATTGCTCTCTCTTGCAGGCCTGGTTTCCCCTAACTGCCCTCCTCTGCCGGCCTGGTCACCCCTAATTGCCCTCCCCTGCTGGCCTGATCACCCACAACTCCCTTTCAGGCCTGGTCCCTCCCAACTGCCCTTTCCTGGCAGCCTGATCACCCACAACTTCCCTTTCCTACCGGCCATCTTGTGTCCACATGGGGGTGGCTATCTTATGTGTTGGAGTGATGGTCAATTTGCATATTACTCTTTTATTAGATAGGATATTTTCCCAAAACCGTCTTAAAATATATGATTTCAGAGAGGAAGGAGAGGGAGAGAGAAATAGGAACATCAATGATGAATCATTGATCGGCTGCCTACTGCTCGCCCCACACTGGAGATGGAGGCCACAACCTGGGCATGAGCCCTGACTAGGAATTGTACTGTGACCTCCTAGTTCATAGGTTGACACTCAACCACTGAGCCACGATGGCCGGGCAAGATTGTAGCTTTTTAAATATCTTTGGGTAGAAGTTTATTAAGGTAGCCCTTATTTTTAATGGTGAAATAGGATTATAAATAGTTACTTTAGTAATTATTATTTCTTTTATTATAAGAAAGATCATGAACTTTACTAAATGGAATACTTATATATCTAGGTTATATAATGGAATTAAAATTAGTTGATATTTGTATATACTTGTATCCTATATCTTTGTAATTTTTATTCTGGCATCATATCTGAGATTGGGTTAGTTACACTTCTGCCTGAGGTGGAATTGGCATTTTTTTCCCATATCAGAATGAGCTTTTTTTTGTTAATCCTCACCCAAGGATATATTTTTCCCATTGATTTTTAGAGATAGTGGAAGAGAGGGGAGAGACAGAGAGAGAAACATATATGAGAGAGAGAGACACATCAATTGGTTGCCTCCTGCACACACCCCAACTGGGGTCAAGGTGAGAGCCTTGCAATCGA